GAGGGCACCAAGCTGAGGCGGGAGATGGGCCATGTGAAGTGACCATTTCTGCATGAGCTGTTGACAATTTCAGCCTTGGCAAACTGGCGTGACATCGTGTGAGTGAAGCCTGTCACTGACAGGCTTGTGAGCTTTCGTGCCAGGAAGAAGAAGCTTGCGGCTATGAAGAAGGGAGCGGCGCCAAAGGGCAAGGCACGGCCAAAGGCGCTCAGCTCCCCAGAGCCAGAGAAGAAGAAGGAGAAGAAGAAGGACGAATCACTCGGAACATGGTGCCTGAAGGTTGTATTAGAGCTGTTTCTTCGCTGATACCTGGTTGAGAGAAATCGCCTAGCATGATCCAGAGGGTTTGTCGTCTCTAGGGGGCATGGATTCGACCAATTCCTGAGCAGTTTAAGCGCATTGACCCAAGGAAAAGGCGCAATTTTTGCAGTTTGGGGCTGAGCAGTTCGCGCATTGCTTGCGGAGCAAAGTCCTGTCAGGACAAGGAAGAGGAGAAGGAGGATAAAGATGGCAAGAAGAAGAAAGAAAAGGAGAAGGAGGAGAAGCGCAAACGTGCGAGTAGCTCTTCCTCGGAAGTGGTAAAGAAGAAAAAGAAGAAAGATAAGGATAAGTCCAGAGACCGAAGCGATAAGGACAAAAAGGACAAAAAGGAGAAGGACAAAGAGCGGCTTGCCATTCTTAGTTGTTGTTTCTTTGTGAGCAATGGCGATCCACAAATCCAAGCTTTCACTTTGAGCTGATGGCCATTGGATCCCTTAACGTGTGCTTGTCGCATCCGGTAGGTGGTTTGGGTGAGGAGTGTTTGAAGACATGTTTAAAACAAACCTCAACGCGGTCATTGCCCAGACGTTGTGTGCCGAATCCTGGCATTGTATCCTTACCTTTCCGAGGAAAAAGAAAGACAAGGACAGGAAGCGGTCCAAGAAGCGCTCAAAGAGCGCTAGCACACGGAGGAAGCGCAGCAAGTCGCGAAAAAAGAAGGACACTACTGAGCACTAAAGCGGGTTGTACTTCAAGCCTGACATGCAGAGCAAACGGCGTGTTTTATGGAATCAATCTGCAGTGCGGCTATATCTCTTGCTCCGCTGTTGAAGCAATAATTATCGGGTTTCTATCCTTGTTAGGGTTTGGTCTCCGCAGACAACGTTGGGACATGTGTTTTGTGCCGTCAAGAGGCCAGGTCGCATGCACAAGAGACAGCTTGGTAAAGAAGCATGCGCAGAATCCCTACAAATGACAAATGAGGAACAAGCACTCGCAGGTGCCTTGTATCAATACAGCATTCGTCCAGTGCAAACCTGATTGCATCGGAACGTCAAAGCGTTTTCCTTCATTCGCACAGCTTGCCAGAACAGACGCCGTGCTTTTCAGGCTCACTTCTGAGACCCTATGAAATGACTTGACCCTTTGCTCCAGTTTTCCACAGCGATGGCTTGGGGCAGCCTCCATAGTCACTTTTCGTTGGGAAATGACTCCTTTTGTATGGCGATGCCAAGCACCGCCTAGGCGGGGCGTGCCACAATCAAATCACCAGGACCGGAGCAAGTCCAAGAGTGAGAAGCGCAAGGCGAAGAAAAGCCGAAGCTCAGAGTAGTCCGAGATTCATTTCATAGGTGGTCGGTCTTGGTTTGCAGTCTAAAGTTTCTTTGGATGTAAATTAGCATGAATGTTCGCTGCGTTGATGGCACATTCTAGAATGATTGCCGTCTCGCCCATTCACCCGGCGAACTCTGGGTTCGCTTGGGCCGCTCAGGAAACCGCTCGGACTCCGATGCTAGTCCTCCAAAGAAAGCAAGGAAGAAGTCTTCCAGCAGCGAGGATGTCGTCGTGGTGACAAAGACGAAAGAGCCAAGCCCGGTCAAAGAGGCCGACGCAGTGCCGCGCAGAGCCATTTGGGGCAAGTCGCTTGTGACAGTTGTCTGTGACATGGACCAGACAAATTTCAGATTTGCATCTAAATAAGCAGAACAAAAGGACCGTTTCTGAGGGCAATTTTATGACAGCTTCGTTGACTTGAAGAGCGTGTTTGTTTTTGAGTTTGGATTGCAAGCTTGCACTGCTGATGCGCATGCTTTCATTGTGAAACGGGGCGTTTGACAGATGATACAGAGTATTGCCGCAGGTTGCCAAGGAGGAGGTGAAGGAGAAGCAAGAGAAGGTCGAGGAGGGTAAGATTCGGCCGATTTGACTGCCGTACTCCAGATGGCAGGGGCATATAGTAATCAGGTCTTGCAATCGTGTCATATTTGTTCTTATGGGTCGATGTGTTTGGGTGGCATGCCTTGCCAGTAGGACCCGGCAGACCGTGAAGAACGCCTGAAGAAGTTTGCGGAGGAGAGCGGCTTAATACCACAAGCCATGGAAGCCTTGCGTAATCTGAAGCCGGATCTCCAAGACAAGATCATGGAGGACTGCATTGAAATTGTGATAACAGAGCTGGCATGCATGTTGTGTTGTTTGTTTGTTAATTACTTTTGTTTGTGCTCACAGTTCCAAGTTGTATATCTTATGGCTTGGCTGGGTGTCCTCCGCAGGAAGGGCCAATCAAGTCTGCCGGCAATCCGATCATTGTGCTCATGAATTTCGGCTACATTTGCTTTCAGCACGTGCGGTTGCATTTTGCAATCCAGCTTGCTATTCATTCAGTGCTGAAGAGAGAGACAGAGAGGGTGAGTCCGACATATTATGCATTCACTGGAGTATATGTTACACTCTTTTATCCCATGGTCCCAAGAACCAGCATGCTAGATGGATACCTTTTTCCTACTATCTCTTCTCATGCATTTCCGTTGGCTGCGTGCAGAGACTGTCTTGTTTGCTGCCTGTTTTGCTCTGACGTTTGCGCAGTGCATCCCTACAGTAGGCATCAGTGGGCTACCACACCACTTAAATGGCCTGACCTACACCTTTCGCTTTTGTAGTCTCGCGCTCAGGAACAGGATCAAGCGGGTGGCCGAGTGGGCACAGCAAGAGTCGGAGCGAGGTCCGGAGCAAGCAAAGGCACCAGAGACAACACCCGAGGATGAGACGCAGCTTGATTGAGTCGAATCAGTCTGTGGGTGCAGGTGAGTAAGTTGGGATGAATACGAGGCTTTGGATGGATGCCAATGCCTCGCAGCTTTGGAATTTGAGACCTCGCTGGTTGGCTCTAGTTGTAATCAAAAAATGTTCATTTTCCATTTTAAGGATAGCTCGGAAGGGCTCTTGTCAACTTGCGGAAGTTCATGTTGATGCGTAAGATTGTATTTGCTGCTTGCCAGTATCCGCACGAATGCAGCAACCGCGGCAGCACTGGTCCCCTTTAGACGACTCACCCAAGGACGCATCGACATGCCACCCTTTTGACCAGTCCGCAAACATTGGGGCAGATGCGTGGCAAGATGTTGAGACCAGTTGACGCTTCGACGGGCAAAACATCGCAAAACAGTTTTCTTAATTCACATGCAGTCGATGACCGGACCAGCCACTCGGTCTCAGGCAGAGAAGTCTAGCTCCGCCGCCACCAGCAGATCCACCTCCGCCTGCAGAGCCAGCTGAGGAGCCAGAGTCTGAAACGGCGATGCTCATCCGAGCCTTTGCTCTTCAGAACAATCTTCCGGACACTCGGCTGCAGCCCCTCTGAACTTTGCAGTTGTTTCCATTCCTTCGCCTGGACTAATCCCTTCCCTCCATTATTTCACTCTGCTCCCTCTGATAAATAAACAAGTAAATCAATATAAATACAACTAAACAACTATATATATATAATTTTGGGGGACATATTTTGCAAATAAGTTCCCACAGGGCCCAGAGGGTTTCCACTACCGTCCTCGTCCCAATGGGGCCCCCCGGCGCAAAAAGCATCAACATGTTAATCTGTCGAGTAAGGAATTTGTACAAAGGGCACTACTTTGGATTTGTCAATTCAAACTTGCAATTTTAGTTTCCAATGAACAGAAGGGAACTGCTGAAAGTACCCCATAAAGGGCCGTCAGGAGTTTTGTATGGGTTTAGCATTGGGTGAATTAAACGTAACAGGGGAGAGGTGAGTTTGGCCTGAACAAACATTTCGTAATAGAGGACAATAGGGGGGAGCCATTAACAAAGATGTCACATGACAGCTCCACAACCATTTGTGGAATTGCTCCCCTCCCACAAGAATGCCAAAGCCTCCAAAGCACCTTACCCACATGCATATTGTTACTGTCTGTTGAGAGCAAATATAATATAGCACACTTGCTTGACAACGACCCACCTCTATCCACCGAACTATCACGATTTCAATGCAGACCCACCCCACTGCCCCAACCTACATTTCAAGCGAAGCACCCAACAACTCTTGCCACAAAGCCCGTTAATATGTTTGCCGTTTGATCGATGGTGTGCTTCTAGAGTTGAGACGACTATGCAAGGCCAAACAGAATGCCGAGACTTTTGCTTAGGACAGCGCCGTGGAAACCTTGAAGAACCTCCCGGAGGAGACGTTGATGAACGTGCTGATGCATGGGCCGTTGCCGACTTCTGAGAATCCCGCAGAAGCACTGCAGCAGAGATTGCGAGAAGTGAGTTCGTGAATGAAATTACGAGTGTTAGTGCCCAACCGCTTTCGCGTATGAAAAAGGCCTTGGCTGCCGCCTCAAGCTTATCTCAAACATGGTTGGCTGGCAGGCGGAAGGCGTACTGAAGCCACGGTTTCATGATTGCAGTTTGCCAACTAACATGGCTTAGGTGGGAAAGCAACCCAGCCCAACTACATAGGTCTCCCAGCCAGCACTGACGGGTGGGATGTTGCAACAGCGCTTGCGCTGTTACACATGCTATCTGCGGATATTACATCCTTGCTCTCACGTAACAGTGTTTCTCCCGTCCCACCTCCACTGCCCGTCCCCAACTAGATCCAAATAGTATTTGGGAGTGTCTTTTTCCTGGGTGCCAATCACCATTTCGTGGGGACCCCTCCCCCTATTTTTTTTTTTTTGAGAAGAGGACACATCCGCTTGCTTTGGGTCCGGCCCGGCCAG